AACGCAACGTGTCATGTGGTCAAGTGACTGAAGGCATGTGACACCACTGTGTGAGGTCCGATCCATCTTTATTACTGGCTGGCCAGGGTAGTTGTAATGCTTGTACATGCTGCTTCTGAATAGTTTTGCCAACCTGATTCATACTGCTTTAGCGGTAGCAAGTAGCCGAGCCCCTGACCGATGGTGTAACCGCGATGGCACTCAATAGAGGATCTCAAATGACTTGCGCTTATCAATCAGATGACTGGTACAGATCAGATGGTTAGTCATAGCACTCAACTTAGTATTGTCCCGTTGGGTGCCGAGCGACGTTGGTAAATGTTCCTTGATTAGCTTTTTCAACTGCCTGGTCGTGCGCCCAATGTACCTAGCCCCACAGGAGCAGGTGAACCGGTAGACTACCACTGATTGGCCTTGATCAGGCATCTTGTCTTTGAATATAGGAACAAAGAGCGAACTGCTTGTAAAAACGACACTTAGTTGAGGTACAGTAAAGGTCGTTCGGCAAGTCTGTATCACTCGTCGTGTGCATATCTCAGCCTGTATGTCACCTCTAAAGGGAAGTTGGAGAAATAGCTGTTTCTTCTCTACCGTTTGTACTGTTGGTCTTGGGCTACTAGGCTTTATATGAACGTACATGAATTGTTCTGGATAACCGTTTTAGAGAAGTGTTTCTGTGATTCGCTTCATTTCATCTTCAACTGTGTCCTCACTACAGATCTTCCGTGCACGATTTGCCAGCGTATGTACCAGTGCTCTTTTACGGCTAATTGGCACAAAACTCCGGAAGTGTGTCATTGGCCTGTCCAGTACCGCTTTCTATATACTCCTATCTGAAGTGATCCGTCTTCTCGTCGTCCAACAAGTGCACTGGTTACTTATGAATGGAAGGATTTCGGTGAGTATTTTTGTTCGTCGCAATCAGCCGACAATTCAGATATGTCGACCAGCTGTCCGGAAAAGCACCAGACGGCCGTTTCGCCCTATTGGGGCTCACCAGTGGTGCGCATCCTTCGCATTTAGCTAACAATTCACGATAGTCAGATACCGTCCTCCATGGCGCAGTTGCATAAGCTGCGGACTAGTTGGCAAGAGCCACTAGCAATCATGGGTTCGATCCTCCGCAGAGGACCGAAGGATGCGCACCACTGATGAGCCCCAATAGGGCGAAACGGCCGTCTGGTGCTTTTCCGGACAGCTGGTCGACATATCTGAATTGTCGGCTGATTGCGACGAACAAAAAGTGCACTGGTTGTCAATTTCTTCTTCAGCTGTGAATGTGGCGTTCGCATGTGCCTTGTTAAAACACTCGCTGACATGCTGCAAGTTGTTCGCCTGCTCTATTATACAGAATATGTCGTCAACGTAATGTCGGTAGAAACGTAGGCCCGAGATGACCGAGCTTAATGGGCCATCCTCTAAAATTCCCATATATATATATATAAGCGAATAGTGGTCCGAGAGGTCCGTCGCAACAAGACTGGACCTTAAGGTGATGCGACGGTTTGTGTACTTCATTGACCCATTGAGCTATACTGGATGATGCCTCCGGGCACCCTGAGAGCTACTCCTACCAGGTTGGTCAATGGTGAGAGGTCAGACAAACTCAATCTCCTGGTCCTCCAGGTTGGGGGTTTTAAATGGGATCGCGTCCATTTCTGTAAAACTAAATCATTGCCACCTCCACGCTACCTTGCGGACAGGCTTTTGAGCCAAAGGCTTTGGATAAGGACCCTAATCGTCCTCCTGTCTAGGTCTGGGCGCCCTGACAGTATCACAGCCCACATACAACCATGACATTTTCTTCAAACATAAACTTCATCCTACATCGGCCGTCGCGCAGATTATCAAATGTCGCCTTATCTGCTTCACACAGCAGGGCGAATAAGCGAAAACATGCTACTGCTGGCGCCTCCCTTCTTACTTTTACACCTGTTTCTCTTACTCCCATCCCGACCACAATTACTAACCTTCCTTCTATAATTCCCAGCTTAGTTGACAGCAACAGAAGTGCCACTGGAGTAGAACCATCTGCAGCTACCATTCCACCGCAACTATCGGATGCCTATCGGTTAAAGCCCCTTATAAGGGTAGGCTATCCCGTTTCCATGGCGACATTCAACGTACGCACTCTAAGATAAACAGGTCAACAAGCTGCACTCGCAAGCACTTTGGACACACTGGGTATTGATGTGTGTTGTGTGTCCGAAACTAGGATCAATGACACTAACGGGGTTATTGAATTAATCGCACCCGGCTTATCCTCTCGTTATTGCTTCCACGCGTCGGAGACGGCGATGCAGCGCTCACGAGTCAAGCTGGTGTAGGTATCATTCTAAGCTCCAACGCTGCGCCATCGTTCGTTGATTGGATTCCGGTGAACAGCCGTTTATGTGCAGCCCGTTTGACGACGTCAGCTAAGTTTGATTCACGAAGTAGTACAAAACGCTGTTTGTTTGTAATTTCCGCTTACGCTCCCACCGACTGCAGTTCTAATGCTGTCAAGGACACATTCTATCACGAACTGAACGCGCTACTACGTAGTGCTACTAGTTCAGATCTTATAATACTTGTAGGGGATATGAGCGCACAAGTAGGCCATCTGAGATCTTCTGAAGCTCAGCTGGGTGGTAATTATGGGCTTAACTCCGAACGGACTGACAACTGTGAGCGTCTGCTGCAACTGTGTGCGGCACCAGTTGTTTCTTAGTAGCACTGCTTTTAGACACAGTGGGTGCCGAAGTGCCACTTGGCGTCCTCCTGTAGCTGACCAGCGATGGACCCAAATTGACCACATGGCCATAAGTTACAGATGGCATGATTCCATCCTGGATTGCCGCTGATACTGGAGTACCTGTGTCGACACTGATCACGACTTGGTACGCTGTCGTTTCTCCATGAACTTTACCGGGAGGCGCACCAAGCGTCCCCTACGATTGGCAACGGAGAAATTGTCTCAGTCCTCGGTCAGGCAAGCCTATCAAGAAGCACTGTATACCGAACTTCCGCTGTCTTGTCCTAATGACACTGCCAGTCCACCGACTCCCGCAACGTGCCTTGTTTGCGTGCCGGGGGTGTGGATGGAAGAAGAGGAGGGGTGGTCAAGCGATGACTTGGCCGAGAGGAATGAAGGCCGACACTTCGAACCTGGCCTCGGTTTGAGCGTCTCGGCTCCCTGGTTGGGGTCCGAATGACGATGAACACCTTTGACTGGATACGCTTGCTGACATGGCTACGAGCCGACCTCAGTGACGCTCGTGCTGTAGGATTATTTGTCTCACCCCATCCGTCTTAGTCTCCCTCTCCAACCACGATCTCACTTCTTAGCCTAATGCAATTTTGTATATGCAATTTTTTGACGCATCGTAGCCGGCTTGTAGCTTAGCGGAACGATGCCCATTCGTTATCATTAGCTCAGCGGGCTTGCAACTGTTACCTTTTCCCCTTTTATGTATTGCGGCACAGTAGCTGAGGCGTTTCCCACCTTTAACTAACGTGTATAATGTCTGAAGGAGGTCAAGTAAGACTGCGCTTTGCTTAACAATAGGTTTTTGAGTCGAGCCAGGAATGGGTTTGATCCACACATTGTGTATCTCGGCGCAAATGAAGAGACAGTCGCACGTTATCTCGAATTTGGAAAACATATGGAACTTGTACGTGTCGCACCGTGGATTCAGGAGCGAATAATTGTTGTAGGGAACAGTTAAATAAAAGGCGGAAAGCTCGAATCCCGTCTACAGGGATCGGTAAGAAAATATTTCATCAGAACTGTAACTAAGTCGAACTCGATGTCTATAGCGTCTCAAGTAGCAACCTTTTTGAGTAAAATGAATTTGCGGTGAGACAAATTACACACATGTACGCTCATAAGGTAAGAAAGGCTTATAAACAATTACATTCAATCTTGCTATATTTTCGCGAATGTTCAGCGCTTATTCGCTGCCCGATGTGGAATACGCAATACAAGTCTGGAAGGCCTAGTAAAACCCCGACTTCAATGTGCTTAGAAATCCTTAACAAGGGTGACTACAATGTCAAGGGTTCCAGCCCTAACAACATCTTAGACTGAAAGCCTTTAGAGTTTTCAGCTGACAATATAACCATATTGGTGGTGATAATATAATGATGCAACAGGCACACTGGTTCCCTGAGCACATATGCTGTCATCCATTTGAACTCAGCAACAACACCTCTCCAAGTTGCTACCGGTTAAACTCGGCCAATCACTCCAGCCGTGAAACACATTTCCGGCATATGTTATTTTCGCCCCGAATTAAAAATCCAACTTAGATTACGTTAGCTAGGCCGATCTAACTGGGCCACGATATCACGCGACCAAACGTTGTGCTTATATGAACTTCGCATCACGAATCTGTGGACACATATCCTTATCTTCATACATTGATTGGTTGGCTTTGTTCTTTTTACCCAATTGATTTATTCAGTAGTTGGGATTTTAACGGTAACATAGACATTGTTCTATACCTCATCATTTCAGGTTCACACATTGTAGATGTGGATGCATCGATGAGTTTACGCTCATGTTCTGACTTCAGAACGACCACTCCATATGAACACTCTATACCATTTCTCAGTAGATCGCATCCATACTCCTCCTCAGAGAAATCATCTCTCTCCACAGACCTCTCAACATGGCCTTAAACCCTATTAAGTTAGAGGTAACGGGCGAGAAGGCCCCTAAATGCTATGGTTCATTTAATGGCAAATCCCAAATCGGGCATTAATATATCACTCTGGTACTTACCTGTTCTACTGTCGGCTGATATGGGATTAAACGCTTAACATACTGGGCGCAATTTTAGGAGTCATTGCCCCCGTTTGATGCAACTAGATAGCGTTAAGGGCCATCTTAAGAGGTATATGGAACAACACCTTTTCCTCAAAGAGGAATATGAAAGTGCTATTGATGTACTTCACTGAGAAATGGTGTAGCTGCTAAAAATTGCACCATGTGAGCAATCCACATTAAACGTACTTACTTGGCAAGGTTGAACAAGTCATCCAAACACTGGGTTCGGGTATGAACCGGAATGACCTGTAACATAAGTAGAGGTATGTGAGTGAATGTGGAGAAAGGAGCGTAGCCACCTCGTGGAGTCAATCAAAGCATCAGTAGCGACATTCTACAGTAATCGAATTTGCAGAAGTGAACCTGACAAACACGCAAAACAGCTGTCCTTATGCAAGGTTATGTAATGTCTGAAAGAAATGTTCGCTTTGTTACATGTCAATAGTGTTCATTAGCGTATCAAGGAAAAAAAGCGTAATAATACAAGACCCATAAAATGGAAAAAGCAAAAGCAAATTAAAATCAAACATGTTCCGACATGAAATGTGAGATAGTAACATTCCAGACATCGCACTTTGCTACAATCTTGTGTAGCGTCTAGCACGAATATGAAGTCTAATAGTCCTTCGAATGCCGCAACATCTAGTGCGTTCATAGTATGCGTTGCTAGTGCATTCCAGTGGAAACAGATTCTGAGGAGTTACAAATACCTCCTAACATCCGAACGGGATTGTTGTGTTACTGCTTTCAGTTGGTGGCCTCGGCATTGTTTGTAAGCGGCTAGGGTCAGCACTGATGTACATGTGTGTTCGCTCTCAGTTACTATCCGGTTTGTGAGAATGGGATCTCCGCGAAGCTGTAGGTATTCTGAGGAGAACCAACCGAGTACACGAAGGCGCGGTTAGTAACTGAGACTGGATAATCCGCGCATCGCGTTGGTGGCGCTTCGTTGGGGTTTCTCCAAGTGATAAAGTTCTCGTTTTAATGATGGACGCCAGCATATTCAACGTGGGGACAAATATACGAGTTCAGCAGCAGTGGTACTAGTCGTCGCTCAAAGGTGCCGAGAGCTCGCGCCAAAAGCCTCAAGCTTAAGTTCGCCACATTTGTTGCTTTCGAAAAATGGTGTGAATTGTCCAAACTATTTGTACAATGATGCCTAAGTCCCGTTCACTAGCCACTTGTTGCTGTATGTGCTGTGCCAGAAGATGTGTTGACGAGGCTGATACCCATCGTCATCAGGTGGCATTTTGCTTGGTTCAGTGGGAGTTGGTTCCTCTCTGCACACGCGTTAATCCGGTCCTAATCGTTCGGGAGATAGGCACTGTCGAATGCTAAACGAATTGCTCCTCACTATTTTAGCATTATCTGCAAAATGTTGCATTGGGGACAGAATGTTTATTGGGTCATTGATGTAGCCTACAAACAGTAGCGGGTAGAGGACAGATCCTTGTGGTACACCTCTGGAGATTCACAAGCTTTCAGAGTGTGTCGACTATCTTTTCCTTGGTTGTTCTGTCGTGTGGGCAACCACCCGACCAGAGGAGCAGGGAACCGTTGATACAGTAGACACCAAGCTTCAGGAGGAGAATTAAGCTATTGACGCTGTCGAATGCCTTAGAACAGTCTGAGGGACTCACATATATGGGAACTCCTTCATCAGCCGCAGTGGTCTATGATTCGCGAGCAAGAAGCAGATTGCTGAAGCAAGATCGTCTGCGTCGGAAACCATGTTGGCCATTGGAAATTAGGTGTAGACTTTCGAAATATCGCGTGAGTTTAACTGTGATAATCGACTCCTTCAATTTTGATAAAATAAGTATGAGAGCAATAGGTCGGTAGTCGGTAGGATCCGATAGCTTACCTCCTTTATATACAGGAGTTATGATTCCATTTTGCACTCCGATGGAAGTGTATGTGAGTCAACCAGACCTTGGGAAATGTCTGTAAGATGTACCGCTTGGTTGGGGGTTGAGGGCTCTAGGTACCCTTGAGTAGTTCTTGTCGATTCCCAAAATACGATTTCTCCGGAGAGGTTGCATTGGCTTGAGATAGCTAATGGCGTAAAGGTTAATTGGATAAGCCGATGATATTTGTTGGGAGTTGACAGTATTAGTGCTTTCGCAGTATCCCCAGCGGTAGTCGCTAAGCCAATGGCCGTCTTGCGTTGTGGTCTTCTAATTTTAACTGTTCATTTCGTTTCACATACTTGTACAGCAGTTTTGTTAATCTAACATTTGTTTACCCTGGTCCCCTGCCGTTTGCATTTGTGTGCTTTATTGAGTGACGTGCAGCAGTTTCTGATTGTTTGGTAATTCTCCTATGTGCTATCTCATGTGCTTGGCGCCAGCTTCCCTGAAATCTCGATTGTTCATTTGATCCATTTACGTGTTCCGTTTTGCATCCAACTGATGGTGCCTCGCGATATCCAATGAACAACACACAATGAACGTATACGGGTTAAGAAGCAATGCTTTACATGTCATGTCGGGTGGTTTTGCAGGGTTATCGAAGAATAAAAATGTAGTGCGTTATCTACGTTTAAAAGACGGACATATCGTTTATCTCGCTGTAGTCCTGCCATCCGTGTAGTTTCCCAGCACAAACATGCAACAGCAACTAAATCCAAAGTATATTCCAAAAGTGGGATGAAGATGTAGTACTAGGTAACAAAGTGTAGCTGAGTAAGTGAGTCATCCAAACCTCTTTTAAATGTGGGTGTTGATGGTGCAGAAATGACGGATTCTGGAAGAGCATTCCACGGGTGGCACAGTCGGACGGAAAAGAAATTCCTGCGGCAACAAGGAGGTTGTATTGTTCTGTCAGTTTTCGTGAGTGACCTCTCAAGTTAGTATTGATGCTGAGTTGCAGTAAAGAGTAGCACACATGGGGTGGATGGTGCAGACATAAGTACACCATTGTCAAGTCACCGCGTAAGCGGCGGAAACGTCCGCTGAATATCCCCAATCGTTCCAGCCTCTCCTCGTATGGAAAATGATTCATTCCAATAACGTACTTTGATGTTCGATTTTGGGGCTGTACCAATGCACTAAGGTCGTGTTTTAGCCATGGGTGTCAGGAGTGAATTGCATATTCGACATGAGGACCAACTTACGCCCTAAGCATCTGCGGGAAAATAGAAAGATCTATTTGTCCGAAAGCCCAATGCAATAGGCCCACAGGTTGGTTACCAGTTTTAGAGTCTTTCGCGGGTTGCCGGGAACAACCCAGATCATCCTGAAGCAGTAGGCCCAAATCACGTTCGGTGGCAGCTAACTGCAGTACATCCGTTTCCAGCGGGTAACAGTGTTTGCTCTGGTGTCGTGTGGAGAGCACCTTACATTTACTCACATTGAATTGCAGTGAATTTTTGATAGACCACTGATGTACCGTGTCTAGATCCTTCTGAAGCAGTTGCTGGTCAGTTATCCCCTGAACCTTGCGCCAAATCTTGACGGCAACGGAAAACAGCAGGATGTTAGATGTACTTGCCTGTGTGAGGTCATTGATAAATACCAAAAACAATCAGGACCCTAGCACCGAACCTTGAGGCACAACACATTCAACTTGCATAGGATCAGAGAATGAGCCACGAACTCTTGCCATCAATTGTCGCTGAAGGAGATAGTTAGCGATCCAGCTTAGAAGAAGGTAACCCATCCCGTAACGTTGTAGCTTGTAATGGAATATCCGATGATCGAGGCGATCGAATGCTTTCGAGAAATCCAGATAGCTCACATCAACATCCTATCAGGCGAGCTATTGGCGAATTCCTTGTGCACAATCGCTTTCGGTGGAAACCGTGGTGCACAGAAATACTAATGTCAGCGTTGTCTAAATAGTGCACCAGCGCATCGGCTATGATGGATTCCATCACCTTGGACAGTATAGGGAGAAGAGAAACTGGGCGGTAGTTTGAAGCTTCGGTTCTGCTACCACCTTTATGAATGTGTGTTATGATTCCAAGCTTCCCCCTGACAGGAACTTCGTTCTGGTCTAAGCACCGCTGGAAGAACTGAGCCAGTGACTTTGCCAGTTGGCCTGCCACTGCCTCCAGTGACACTGGGCAAATAGTATCGACACCCGGGGTTTTGTGTCTGCGTAGATTGGTCATCTTCTGAAAGACAGCTTTGGTGGGAAAGGAGATGTGAGTGAGTCCCGGTGGCTAGGCGATAAAAGATGGAGGATCTCCTGATGGTAATAGCCTCTGAAAGGTGGGGGCACATTGCATCTGCAGCGCGTTTGCCGCTTCAGTTTAGCTTCGTGTTGGGCCATCAGCCGTTGTGAGTGGCGGAAGTCCTTGCCTCACCTTCCGTAGACCATTGGCGTGCTTATATAGCAGTTTGTGGTGGGCGCTGAAGTTTTTTTGTCATATTCTACTGATGCGCGGTTTTGTCCGCTCTGAGCAGTTGTGTGCAGTGGTTTCTTTGGGCTATGTAGTTATCCCAGCTTTCTGGTGTTGGGGCTTATCTATACTCTCGCTACGCTGCGTTGCGTACTACCAGCAATTTTCGAGTTCTGCTCCTTAGGTAAGTAATAGTGTCTTTGCCTCTTAAATGCAGGATGCACGATAGCAAACCCAGAATCAGAGATTCTGAATCCATCATGACGTCGCAATGTAAGTCGCTTGGGTAATACAGAAATAAGCCTCCTCCTTTTGTCACTGTCTTTCCGAAGGAGTGACATGCCAAGTAGCGAAATTTCAACCTCCGTCATTTCAGTGTGTAATGGTACAATTTTTGAGAAAGCTCGTATGACCCAATAACTTTTAACTTACACTTCGTTCCGCGAGTAGTTCGCCGAGCTGTGCGGCCGTATTTCCCAGTCAACGGTTGTCGAGAAGTTGTGAAGCTTGGAATAGGGAGTAGTACTTCGTTGGGTTTCTCCTTCATCAACCTTACTGTCTTACTGGCATAAGACACATAAGTAATATTTAGGACTAAATGATCGCTGCTGTCTTGTGCAAGGTCGTCTGCGACTGACCCATCCATTAACACTTCATTAGTCAGGAGTAAGTCCAGAACTGGTGACTTGTTTGGACCGCGGTCACTGATCGGTCAATGCACATTGTTATACAAAGCTGCCATATATATCAATTCAAGGAGTTTTCATTTGAATGATGTCACACTGGGTGATATTTATACTATTGAATGTACATTAAGGTCGCCCACCATAAGGCAGTAAGAGCACACCTTTTGAAACAACATTGTAGACAGCGTTTGACAGAATGTTATTGCTGTTTACGGAGGGGTTTGTAGCTTGTAAGCAGCTGCTTAGAGGCAAGCATCACGCGTCTACTTCAGGGATACCCCATCTAAATCTGTTAGTTGCATTCGGCAAAACAATACGTCGGAAATAACAAGGGTACGTTAAATCAAGGTACTCTCGATAGTAGATAGCAACACTGCCACCACGAGGTGCACGATAATTTCGAATGACTTCGCACTGTTCCATCTCCGGATCAAGTATTTCATTTGAGAGCCAAGTTTCAGTTAGCGCTAAGATGTCCCAAGTTCTTATTTCATGTCGACGGCGCAAGTTCGGAAGCTTAGAATACAACCCTTGAATGTTGGTGTAACAGTATTGTATTTGTTGACTATTAGAGTTTTGCTTCGCTGTGTTTGACCGGCACAATTAGTGCAGGTCTGTTGACATTGTTTTGAAACGGGTGTTTGTACGTTGGTTGTTCTGAGGTAGGAACAACCGAGACTGGCTTATCTGTATCTGGGGTCTGCTGCTTGAAAAAATGGTCTTAACCATAGTCCTGGCGACACAAATTTCCTGTTGGAATGCCACGCTTGGATCGCTATTGATGCCCTCTCGGACATCACCAAGGTAATTTTGGCCCTAGGCCGTGTCAGTTTGGGGAGGCCGGTAGACGAGTGAGGTTAAAAGCCATGACATTTTGCATGGTATAGAGCTCTGTGATGGGCTTCCATCCTCTGACGTCATGCATTTTTCGTACACCGCTGTCGTCATGCTTCAATTCTGGAACACCAGGAATCAATACCACTTTCTTCATCTTATTTTGACATGAGGCGCTCGGGTTGGATTTCCGATTCTGTCTTTCTGCCCATGGCTTGACCGGAAAAGTGTGGGCGCTGACAGAAGAGTTCACTAATGTGGCTTACTAAAAGAATCTACTTCAAGTTCTGTGTGTTGTCAAATGTTACTCGTAGTAACCGAGGTGCCCTTACGTGCGGGGATGATGGATTTGGTGAAAGAGGTTAAAGGCTAGTTGGGCAAACTTTCAATCCGAGTGCACAGGTTATCACAGCCTAGTGGTTTTGCTTCTAGGGTAATCTATCTTTTAACGATTCTCTAGTGGTTCTGGGATGTTTGAATATCTCACTCTTATCGCCTTTTGATTGCGTAATAACTCTTTGTTCTACAATTCCTTGCGAGCGGAGATTTTTCGTGCGGGTGTTTTACTTATCTTGCGTGGAAGACAGACAATCACTACTGCAAGACTGTTTATACACAAAGCCGTATGTCGCACTATCTGCAAGAGTCAAGTGTCGTTGCCCAGCTAATCACGGAAGGTATCGCACAATTTGTGCATAACTGTGCTTGTCTTGGAGCATTTGGTGCGGGGCGGTTTAACCGGCCTGTCGCCACTACTGTTTGTCACCAGTGTGGTTCGTTTTATGCTGAACTAGAGAGCATTTGTCTTTTCACAGGTCTGGGATTGGGGCTACGTAGTACAGTAATCTGCAGCTCGAATTCAGATTTTCCCTCACAATACCTCCACCAATTCCCTCTGCTTTGCCAACAATCATCATTTAACACTTCATCGCCAGCGTTTGAATAATCCTATGGGTGATCACAGTACCACAAAGTATCTGTCGATACGCTGCTCTTTCCCCTACGTTTGATGCTCACGTTTGTTGCATCGTAGGAATTGACACAAAACGAGCACGTGATCCTTATGATGACCTCTGTTGCATGCTTGTATGGGATACGGTTGACCTTGGATATGTTGTTCACTAACTTTCCAGTTGACAAACTACTCCGGCGTATGGCTCAATTGTTCGTAAGCACTTTTAAGTCGTGTGGGTCACACCGCTTGATCGGCCTCAGCTGTCTGCCCCAGTCAGCATGAATCGTTGTGTCAGCCAGCTTGGTGGTGGTGCGTCACCCGGCGCATAGGTGGACAAAATCAAAAGAGTTTGTACGGTGAAATGCAAGTAAGAATGTGGTGGTAGTTGTGGGATGTAAAAACAGCCTGTAGCTAAGGTGTACAGTAGTACAGAGTACTAACTTATATCTTGTCTGGTAGCCTTGAAGAAGCTCTGTCGAACGGTGTCGCAATGGCGAAAAGGATTCACACGTAGGTATTTGTGAATAAAGTACCGATGTCGTTTGTGGTGTACCAGCGCGTCGTTGGATTTACTCCGAAAATATGGATCCCACTGGGTAGAGCTCGGTGATCCGAATCGATTGAGCGTACTTCCGAAGAGTTGGCACAACCATGTGAGAGGATACGTCTAAGTTAACACAGAGCACAAAATTACAAGACTGACACGCGCATGCAATACTGCCAACATTTCTGATCGAAACACACTGGTGTACGATGCGCTCCGTACGCATTTTCTTACGGCTGTAGCGACCGTATAGCTATTGATATGCATTATAAAGGACGACCAGTAAAACACCACATAAAGTAAGTATCCGCCATAAGCGGACCAAAAAACCGGCGCATTTGTCTTTGCATAGGGTATGGTTACCAGATTCCCTCCCAGTAAGAACACCACTTCAGCTGAAGAGAGCACTTCGACTGTTTAAATCCATCCTTCGTGTGATTTTCAAGATGTAACGAACAGTAGAGGCTTTCAGGTGTACAATAGATAACACAAAGCTTTACTCAGAGGCTATTGTTGGTTTAATGTTGGTTGAAATTGATAGATAGACTGCGGAAATCGGAATGAGGAGGATCAAATGGATTTCTTAATAAACCACTTTGAAAAGCTGTCGTTAACTGTCTGGCTGGTTTCGTCATCCATGTTTTGTGAGGGACGTTTACTTGTGGAGATCTCGCGTCACATATTATGAACTTCGCAATAATTTGTTGATAACTTTTGACAAAGCTTGGGAATGACTGGAGTCTGCCATATCCTGATAACAAAGGGTTCCTGTGTAATTCACTCCGTTAAGCTCTAAAGATTGCAGCTTAGTTTTTGATGACCCACCCGAGAAGCAGGCGCCATTTCGAATTCATAAAAATGCAGTTGAGTCTGCCGTCAGGACTCGGATATATAAACTCTACCTGTAAGGCTAACAAGGTATCATAGCCAAGAACCGTTAAAATATCTATCAAGTAGTGGAGTCGCGTCAAATAGAGAAGCGTGTACATTGAAATTATACCCGATTTAACCTACCGTGGGATCGTCAATTAACTGCTGTGTAATCCTCTGCCAATTATCATCAGCGTAGTGAACTCGGTAAAACCCGGCTTGTCTTATGTTGAAAATGTACCACGATGACGGTTCAATGTTCACTGGAATGGTCATCGATTCTGTGGGTAACGAAAACATTACGGTTATATTACTTGTACTCACACCTCAATATGTTCATTCTACTAGTGGTTCGCTCATTATTTCCGTCAATGAATTCGATACACCCACAAAGCAGAGTTAGACATACCTACCGACGTACGTAAAGGGCAGTATCAGGTAAACAATATTGATACGATTCGCAAATACGGGTAAACAAGGGGGTTGAAAATCTGTGTAGCTTTGGAACATAAGGACTACGATGCACGTAGAAGTCAAAAACATGCGACGGTGAAAAGAGGCGGCCCAAGAGATATGGAGCATGGAACTGCGTTACTGTCTTCAGCTCATTTGGGGGAGAATAAGAACGGTCTTTTCGGTGTGCTGGGTGTAGTGTATCTTGGCGCTTGGTCAGCATTTACCTACAGCTGCTGAGCCTTCGCTTTGTACGCATTGGTCTCTGATGCTATCCCCCCTTTCACCGAGACAGCATAAGTCCTCTGACTGCAAGACAAGAACAGTTAAAATGTTACGCTAAGTATGCCTTCTTGTGTAGTCCCTCATCGTTGGGAGTTAGCATCCAGCGAAACCTGTGTTCCCGCCTCATATGTTTTTCTAGCAAAGATGTCCCCATTTCATGCACATGTACGGATAAGACACAATTATGACTTTTAAACCAATCTACTTTCTCCGAACGCTGTTAGACCACTTAATAAAATAGTAAAAACGAAAACACTACTGCTGTTAGTATTGAATTCGAAATCTCGAAGTTGAGCTGCGCAGAGGTTGTTACCAGCGATGATTTAGTTTGCACAATGTGACTAGCTTGTAGCGGGAATTAGTAACTTACCATTTTTCAACCAGATAACTTCATTGTCTGTCCAGTTCACATTCACAGAGTCTCCAAACGTTAAGGGTATTTGCCACTGAAACCTAATCGATGCAACAAAATGTGACATGTGATAGAAAAGAGATGCAGGACCAATACATCAATCTGCTAGAGATCTAATGCAAAAAGTGTTAGGGTCACGTTTCGAACCATATGCGCCTGGATCCAGCAGCGGAGTGTGATCAAACCAACACGCTAAAGCACTTAGTTTTTACATCTTATCAAGCTCCATTTGTATACACGTGCGTCCATGTGTTTCAGAAAAACCCATAATCGGAATAAATTTTGTTTGTTTAGGGAAGGTTGGAGGCTTTAGATTTCTCAAGTGGAGCTAGGATGACTAATGTTGGGATATTTGCCAGATTTGGAAGCCAAGAAGCCGCACCCACTTACCTCCGTTGCTACACCCTTTGGTAAAACTCGCAAGGCATTAGATAACATCATTGACAGGTGAAGATATACGGTAATTGTGCTGGCTTGCTCACGATTCCACATTATATAAATAGAAGAGGTTCCCAAGTGCATCAGCACGGAGAGTCCACCTTGTCTAGAGGTAAGATTGTCTCAGTGACCTTGCTCACAATGTTCACTACTGCTGTGCTGCTTTGTTTATGGATTGTAGCGTGATTATCGGTTTGCCTATGGTTCCTGTTAAAATGCGCAATGAGACTATTGAGGCTAGGGGTCAAAAAATCTTCTGAAAGTCAGGAAACTCTCACCCGGTTCGCTTGTGAGGAAATGACTGCAAGGAAAATTGTTCATATATTACTGATTATAAGCCGATAATTTTTGAACAAATTTTTGTTTCCGTAGTAGGGGGATCAGTTTCTAAAAAGGCTATACGAAAGTTGAAAATAGACACATGAAAAATCCACCCAGGAATTTATTGTCGAGCACTGCCTTTAGCTCTATTTAACACCACCCGCTAGTGATGGACGGTATACCAGACGGGATTGGAAGCGCCTATTAGTGGACACGTTACTTTTGTATCGAAAATGCTCGGTATATTGAACATTTGACATTCGCAACGGATGGCAGTAGTGAATCAAAAGCCCCTAAACATTATGTTGTGCCAGGCGATCCGGTGCATTAAAAATACAACGTCGTCCCACACCCCTGACCGTTAGCTTCTCTCTCACCAACTACTACTGTGGTTCATATGCATGAGGCTCCCGACTATGCGAGACCCACTAGTTCACACCCTATATTGTCGGCTGTCTTGCCTGTCTTATGTGACAACGTCAATTCACTGTCCGGCGCGTTGAAAGTCTGTTCTAACGGTCCTGCGCTCCATTAACCGCAATGATAAAATTAAGGTCACAACAAATGACCAGTGCTTGAACCCACTCAAGTGATAGCAGCTAGTGATGACGTCAAAATCGTGGAGACACAATTTCGTTTCTCTTTTGCTTATTTGTTAGTGGTCGGCTGATACAGGGACTTACGACTCTAAATAAATCTGATGTTGCAAAGTTATACTGTCGGCTTATCTATGGACGCGCTTATATGCGACAATATATGGTACTAACTTAAATTCATTCAAAGTTCAAGTACATTGGAGTATCTACAGTACCCCAGAACTGATCTCCTGGTGTGGTCATACCAGAGCGCGGTACTAACTACCACATCGTACACATTAGTCGCCATACGACATAAATCTTTTGTGCATCGCAGTGATTCTTTGCGTCGCACTGAGAGGCATTCCGCATACCTTCAGTCACTCCTGCGCGGAAGAAATATGTTCAACTTTGTGTTGTCTCGGTCTGAACAACCTTATTAGCTCAGGTTCGGTGTGGTTCATTGACTTCATATTTTACAATATCGCTACTGGAGGTAACAGCTTCATTAGCCTGAATGATGAACACCACAGTTGTCTCTGGTCGTGAGAGGGTACAAACGCTGCATTTGTAACAAATTAAAATAATCGACCCATTTTATTAACCATTTCATTTAAATACTGTTTTCTAAACGACTTGGCTATCACAGTGCATCCTAATGAGCTGAGTGTTGCAAATCCGAATCTATGCACTTATTGCTTACTTGAAAGCAGTCGGATTCTTCGGCGGTTTCGCGTCCGCAGGATCAAGATAATGGGATTGATTGAATTGGAAAATTTGCCCACTAACTCTGCGCACAGTGACCAATGGATAGTTCATCTGCATCAACCACGTTTCCATAATCGCTTTAATGTCAAGTGCCTTGCCAGTATTTTGGGTTGCCTAACGAGGAGGATAGGATGGTTGAAAACAGACTTGCAAGGCACAGGGAATAAGGCAAATATACCACACAGTAATAGTCATTTTAAGAACGACAAACTTGCAAGCCAAGTACGAGCGTTAGTTGCCGTCTGAGCTCCCACTGCTTCTGCTTACATTTGCTTAAATTAATCACAACGGTATTTGGGCCTGATTTCGAAGGAAATGCAAGAAACGAGACTTTTCTTTACCTCCTTGATGGAGTGTGACCTATACGGAAAGCAGGTCCACATATCAACAAATGGAACGTCATGGTTAAACGTCAGGCGCAGTGTGAATAAATGAACAAAAATATAATCTTTTTTATTTTCGTGTCCATCCTTGCATGATCAAAATTTACAGGAAATTATGTTTCGCAACAAGCAGGTTTCATTTCCATGAAATGGGCTTATCGATAAAAGGTTTAGAAGTTGCAGAAATAGGAAATGTACTGGTGAGGAACAAACTCGTTTGGGATATGACAACAGTCTGGACTCAGAAGAGTACAGTGTGGAGATCAACAGTAAAGGTGTAATTAATGAAGTGTAGACGGAATGTGCGGACAGAGAAGTGTCTGTAATGTACGAATTAAAAAATAGTGAAATGTGGCTCTGGTCAACTTGCCAGTGGGAAATGGTGGGCTGTGAGTTTATTCAGTGGCGAGTCAAATCAGCCACGTCGCAGTGTTGTTAAACAGATCATTGTGACTTTTTGAGGGAAAACGTTTGCCGGGCAAAAACCCACTGCACCCTAAAATTGCCGTCGGTCATTTTGAACAATGATGTAAGCTGCCAGTGCATCTTACAAACTGATTTTTCACCCGCTTATTCGCAATCGTTTGACGACAATAAGATGAGGTTCGTTTGTTCGTGCTTGTTCCTAGATTATGCTACACGAGGTTAAACCGCTGGGTTTCCTCAAACTTTCACTTTACGGCCGGGAGTAAAAGACGCTAGCTAACTAAAAACCTACGTTTATTCGCGACACTGTGGCTCATTGCCAGAGAGGCGGGTGCATCCATATTTAACCATTGGAACTTACGGTAACCGTAATCATTCGTCATCTACAACCGCTTTTCTACCCGATGATGGATGCGTAAATACCGTAAAAGCAGCCCTAAAGCATTCTTGTCTTCATCCAAATATGACGGAATCAAGTTTGACTGACCGTGTAACTCATGCCACTTTGGGTCCGGGAATGACAAGCCACTTACCCGTTTCTTTTTAAGAACATGTATTTGTTTCTGTTAGACGGTTATACCCCCAAACTATTCTATATTTTCCAACAAGGCGGGCTAACTTGAAGGGTTTTTCCTCACTATACGTATCTCATCTATTAGAACGGGACCCAGGGAACATCAGATAGTAAATTGAAGTCCCATGCTTGGCTTAATTTAGTTCGGATACTGTGTGACTCGGGTAGAGTGTGCAACTGAAAATAGTTTCGACCTAGGATAGACTCTAACGTCCAGAACATTTGCATCACTTAGCCTCGTAAATGACTAGCTGCATTACAGCCTCTGTGAGTATTGCGCAACAATCAGATTTTGCATTTAGTATGGTCGTACCATTAACAACTACTTGACCCAGTTATGCTCCCCATTTGAACAAAGCAGTATGGAAAAATAATCAAATACACGGCATTGTGATGAAAGTAACTCTTAAACAATATGTCGGTTTTGTAATAGACGACTAACGGGATCGAACGCTTTAGGCACAGAGTACCAATTAGATAGCTATCCCAAAAGCATCACTGTCCCATCGGTATTCTACTTGTACCCGGTCTGTAGAGATGGACTCACATTTTTTGGTCACCACCCTTCACTTCAGCTGCAATAAACTTCTGCCGTAGAGAAGAATCAAGATCATTGAATCCAGGGTATCAATATGACAACACATCAAGATTTCGTACATGGCTGTCTGCCGGTTGCTGAGCTCCCACACAATAAATCCATTGTCACCCAAGGATGGCTCTTCCATTAGACCAAGTAACACCACTAAGTTGATACGGCTTTCCCGTAGGCTGCTGTGTACCTTGTATGAATCACCAGTGTTCATTAAGCAAGGTTTTGCCCTGAACGACCAACCGGGACTTAAGCTGTGGAGGCCTACTTGTGGCCTAAAGAAGTGTCGCGTGGTGCTTAAATTGACGTCACTTATGTGTTAGATACAACACAGGTGGCTAAGCTTAAAGATACTAATAAATCAATTAGTAACACGAACCAGGGTGCTTCGACTAAATTTACTCACCGAGCTGTTGCAGGACTAGAATACGTCCATACCTTCGGGTGCAATTAAATGTCGATGGAAAGGTTGTAGGCCAATGAAAGGTTCATGCACACCTTGCCTTGAACCGAGCACCCGTGCGTCAACCAATGAGTAAATATCTTCAGTAGACGAGGGATCATCTACACCCGTCTAAAACTCCTTTATGACCTACTGCCTTTGCTTTTGCGAACGTGAGTCTTTAATATTCCGCCTCTTAGTTGGATGTTCCCTAGGGGTAGGTCAGAGGTGAATAGACCTTATAAGACAAAAAGTTCGAGTGTTCGGCACTCACCTCAGTCAATGAATTCCATAAATCTTCGTGTACGGTGTTTTTAAATTTGTGATCTGATAGATACTTCTGTAACAGAGCATGAGATATCAATTAGTGTCACTGTTTCATACACAAAAACAATAGGCCACTATTTCTCAAAAAAAACAAAAATGCATGTCTCTAGCGCTATCTTGTACGCGCAATTTTTCATATCAGCCATATTTTATGATACGCCAACATGAGTTGATACACTGTGGAATACACTGTTACCATCCTCTAGGGAAATAGTAAAAAGCCCTGTTTGCTTGCCAACCGCAGGAAGCTATCTAGAGGGGAAGAATTATTTTTTTCAGTAGCGGGCAATTGCTTACCTTAACTCCTTTGCGGAACGTGTCGCGGCCCATGAAAGATTCCATCATTCGAAGAACCGAAGCCCCCTGTATTAAGGTTAACAAACACAAACACATCAAAGAAAACCGTTGCCTTGGCGAGCACCGACAACTGCAATCAGCTGGCGTGAAAGCGGACAGGTAATTTGTACACATGAATGAAAATTCGGGGAATTTTCGGAAAGCTTTACTGTCACGAACATCATAACGCACTTATAGATGTCAGTGTAAGTGGGCAGTGTATATGACACTATCTGGACGACAACATGAATGCTAGCTGAAGTGGCGATTAGATGGTTCGGCTGTTGAATTTCTGTCAGAAAACTAGCTCACGTTTCTCTAAACGATTGTATTAGAGCATTTGGAATACTTTCACAACTGATTTGTTTCAACCTGGAGGTTCAGGTGCTCTTCAGCTGAGTGTCATATTACGACGCTACGTTCCAGGGTTCATCTGCCAGGCGGCTTGTACGGTAAATTCACTTGGCCATAAGTAATTCCAACAACACTCATGTTGTTCGATACGGCTACTAAAAGTACATACAACGACAGAACCCAAGAGCTTTAACTTCGTTTAAATAACTTTAACTAAAAATATGCGAATGCTTCCTGGTTGGAAGCGATATGATCGCAAGGACTAAAATCAAACAAGCTGTACTGTGAACTACACATGGATACATACTTAGCAACTTCTAAGCTTTTCTACATAATTAATGTAACTACCGATTTCATGGTGATTCTGAACCTTACTAACCGCCTAGCTTGTGTATAGGTTCGCATTTCAGTGAGGTGCCGTGAGCGTTAGGATTTAGACTAGGGATCTCCAAAGTCCGGCCAGCGGGCCAAACGCGGCCTGTGTTAACATTTCAACTGACCCACGCCCTCAGCATAAAATAAGTAATTCAAGCTTGGACTCTTTTCGTACATGTGTAATCGTTTTATCATTTTAAAATCAGAATGAATATGGTCAGACATCTTTTTACCTCACAAAATGTGGCTTTCCCTGCAAAAAGTGTGGACAACCCTGTCTTAGACAAACGCTAACGAGATCACTATGGTGTATCCGGGATGTGTCTACCGATTTCCATTGATACACCGTAAATGGCCGTACATTGCGCGCACTGAGAAAACCAAGAGGAATTCTAACGGCAGTCCCGAGATCCAATCGAATCTCACACGATGCACTACGCACACAAGCGCGTCGTTTGCGTACCCGAAATTGCACGCGTTGCACGCGATGAGGCGCAGACTATGGATAATTGACGATCGACACATTCTGGTCAGTGTTTGAGGATAGAATGTTTCGCGGACCAAGATAAACGGTGGCATTATTGTCTTAGTCGCTTTCTCAGCAATGGAATACGAGTTTACATTCCCGTCGGTGAGGTTCCTGCAACCAGAATGCCGCAGCGTGCCTGAGGTTCAGCGCGTCCAAATTATGCAGCTATATGGCCAATGCAACTTGAACCCCGCCAAAACAGCTAGGAGATATAACACTCTAAACGCTGGAAAGCGACCAGTCAGGGGCCGTTACGTGCGTCAATTGGGGAATAAGTTCCACCTAACTGAGTGTGTGCAATGTCAGAAAAAATGGACGGCCCTCGCAATATTACTGCAGCTTTTGTAGCTTGCACCGTTGTACGTGAAGTACCTGAGAGGCCAGATGGCACCATACGTAGAATCAACAACATTGTGACACCACCAGCTACGCGGTTCAGAATATTTTGAAAGAACGCAATCAGTCGGTTTCGTACGCTCCAGTTTCAAGTATTGAATCCAAACGATCCAAATAAACGGAATACATTCTGCCGTTGGTTTTTGGAGCAAATGTGCATTCACTCTGTAATGTTTACGGATGAGTCCGTTTTCTATTTGCGTAGAATGGACAAACAACATTTCTGAGCTAGTTGAAATCCAGGCACATACAAAGAGTCACGTAGGGCCAAGTTGATGGTCTGGGCTGGAATTACTGGTCAGAAAATCGTTGGACCATTTTTCTTTTCCACGAACTTGACCGGTACGTTGTTTATGTTACTCAACCCTTACTTTTGCCACCATCGTACAAGGAATTGCCCCAGACTTGCGTACTGCCACCGTTGGAGGCGGATGGATTTTGCAGTATTATATGGTTGCAGCACGATAGTGCACCAACATATTATGCTCACTCGGTGTGAGAATATCTGCGAGGAATTCGGCCAACGTTGAATCGGTCGTGAAGGCCCCATTGAGTGTCTGCAAGGGCACCCGATTTAAGCCCGCTGGATTTTTTATGTGGGGATATTCGAAAGCAAGGGTTTAAAGAAACGAGCCGATTTCCCTCGAGCAATTTCAGCAAAATATTGTGAATGAATGCCACGCCATCATCACCGTGACTTTGCAGAAAGTGCTTGCTAACTGTACTGTAGTCCGAATGTAGGTGGACACTTTCAACATATTGTTCCATGATATCTATGTCCGTCTAACCCTGCTTCTGTGAATACACGTGTCATAGATTGCACATGGTTGAAGAGTAAATCGGTCTCCGGACGAATGGTGCCAATGATGGGTCGGGGCGAACTTAATGCTATAAGCATTGTCTGCTTCTTCCAGTCTGCACCACTCCGAACGCCGTAATAATTTTGGGGTATCCGATGTGCAGATGAGAGCCAATATATTGGCGTCTTTGGTGGGAATGTTCTTCAATCTACACCGGAGCCATAAGTAAGAGATAATTGGGGTCTGCGATATGTCGTTTATAGACAAATTAGTTATCGGTCATGGTGTTATTGCACACCGAGCTTCTTGCTTGTATCAAAGGTCTCCGTTTGGGTACCGTGCAGCTTAACGATCCGTGTCAATACGTCTAGTCTATGGAATCCCGGTGATCCATATTTTTCACCGTCATGTCTACCTTTGTGGGCTGTTACCCAGATGAACGAGAGACGGTCAGACAGGTAGTTCAACATGTTAGTTAGTAATTTTCCTGTAAAAAGGAGGGACCTTTCGTTTTTAACACAGTAGTCCTTCTCTCCTCACACGTGATTTGGGTTGTTTAGAATCAGGTATGCTAATATCAGGTCACCGTGTACTCGGCGATACCGTCAGTTAAACACTCCCAAACGTTTCAGTCTTTGCTCGTATGATAGATTGCTCATTCCGAGGACGTATTTAGATGCTCGACGTTGAGGCCGCTCAAGTACAGTCAGGTCGTGAGTTGACCATGGCTGTCAAGCTTGCATTGCGTATTCGACATGGGGACGAACATACGCACTGAGCATCTGTCGGAAAATGTTGATGTCGAATTGTCCGAATGCCTGTCTCAGAAGCCCGACGTTTTGCTTACCAGTGTTCGATGCCATTTTGGATTGCTGGGAACAACCGAAGTCATCCTGAAACAGCACGCCCAGGTGGAATTCGACGGAAGATCGCTGCGGTACTTGCGTTACGAGCATGTAGCAGTAGGTACTCTGGTGGCATATGGAGAGTACCTTGCATTTGCTCACGTTGAAATTCTACTGATTTTTCTTTGACCACTGTTGTACCATGTCCAATCACGCCGCAGCATATCCAGAACGGCGCCCGAGTGAATCCGGCGCCATATCTTGATGTCGTTATCAAACGTTAGAAAACCTAAACCGATCGTCTGTGCCAGGTTTTTATAAATACCAAAAACAATCGTGGCCCTAGAAGAGAGCCCTGAGGCACACCACATTCAACATGGATAGGGTCTAATAATGAGCTTCGAACTCTAACCACCAGCTGCCTTTGTAGGAGAAAGTTGTCGATCCAGGCTAAAATGCGGTCACCGACACCATAATACTGCAGCTTGGAGAGCAGAAATCGATGATCCAGGCGGTCGAATACCTTCTGAGACTTGACCATTTTGTACGGAAGACATCGAATAGCTGGCAGGCTTTGATCACCGGGTCTCACGCAGTATCCCACGCACCTGGTGGGAACACAGGGTGAGCAACGCTGAGGTCCGCCAGTTGGTTTTTTGCAAGATACCCTTCGGTGCCTCACTTAAGTGTCTGTCGAAGTTGACCCGCTAACGTTGGTTAGGTCATGTACTCCGTACACCAGTTAACCTTCTCCCTCGGCGAGCATTATACGACATGGCCGCACCAAGTTGGACGAAATCAAGAGGTGTTTAATGTATGACGTGGCATAGGGGTATGAAGAAATGGACCGAGAGACTTGTTCAGGCAGGTATGTGCTGCCTTCGTGGATGGGGGCCTCGTGCTACTCCAGATCAGTGGTTAGAGACTCTATCTGACGTGGCGCACTATCGGAGTCAGTGCTGACCCTGCGTTCGTTCTCTTACGTGTAACTGTTCATACTTCACTGCGATTAGCTTCATGCACCTCGTTCTTCATCTCATTCTGCCAATACTGAATACTGAATAGTGAATACTGTATTATAGAGCAAATAGAAATGAATTCTGTACAACTCTTTCGAAATATGGTGAAAAACGTTATAAAAGTTGCCAGCCGTAAATAGCGTTGTCGTTCTCATGTAACATTTAAAATATCTGACTCACGATATTTCAGGACTCACAAATGTGATATGTCATCGTAAGTGTGCAATCGTTCTCTGAACCGAATAGTGATAAAATTCAAATAACAACGTTTTGAACTGCTGCACAGATGTTGCCTCAATCACATGTTCAGGTAAACTGTTCCAAATATTTACCACTCTCCGTTCGAAGCACAGTGCGTGGGAAACACGTTTCACATCCGGCAAGACAAGTTTGTAACTGTATCCGCGTATGCTGCATGGCCCTCGTAAGTGCAGCTTTGACCTTAGCATTGGGAAGTCACCGAGATGTAGAATACGGTAGGTCATAATGTGGTCGACTCGCACCCGACGGTAGGACAAAGTGTAGAGTCCTAGTTTCTCGCACCGGTCTTCATACCCAAAGCCACGTAAACTCGGGATGAGCCTGGTAGCGACGTGTTGGACCCATTCGATCTTCTGTGCCTCGCCTCGGGTAATCGGAAAGTAGGCGGGCGAACCGTACTCTAGCATTGGTCTAATGATGGAAGAGAAGAGGCGAGTGGCAACCTCTT